CAAAATGCTGAATTATTCTATTAAATATCTTTATTCACAGTACTCAGTAATGTATGAATTTTGAAAGCAAATATTTCTATTTATCCATCACTGGTAAAGCAAAGCCCCAGGAATGCACATACAGTAGCCTGGCTTCTAAATAAATTTCAGTTGGTGTGTTCAATACTTTGTGGAATGGCACAAAGTTAATGTGAATATCTGGTCAAAATTTCATGCAAATTGCTGCTTTGGAAATGTTGAATACTTATTTCACACTTTGTCTCTTGATATATGCCATCAAAAATGGTTCTTTGTTACCACTGTCAAATAGGGTACTGCATGATACTGCATAATAAAATTAAACCACACCTCATCTCTGCCAAGTGAAAATATTGTATTTCCAAAATCTAATTTTTTTTAGGAAATGATGTAAGAAACTAAGTTGAGCAGATTTTTAATGTAGTTCAACAAATTCAAGTGATCCAGTTTTCGCCCCTCAGAGGTCTGTTTAATCTGTCACTTCGAAGACGCACACAGTATGAAGACACTAATGCAGGTAAACAGCGGACATGCTTGTCTTTCACCTAATTTGGTGAACATTGCTTGTAAGGCCAGAGCGCATGTTAAAGCTCCAGTAGTGATAGTCAGTTGATTGGATCACCAGTGTGGTGAGATTATTTTACTTTATTACAATGGTTTTATATCTCAAATCAACCAAATACAGTGTGTCTTTTCATCTGGACTGCATATATTAGACAATCAGTACACTGTAGGTGTGCTGGAGGAGAAACTAATGCAAAGTGCTGTGAGCCTTTAAACTAACCCACTTTGAAACTGCTTGTGGCAATAGATCTGCTGTCAAGCATGGAAAGAACACGCTTGACTGACGGCTGTGATTTCTCACACACACACACACACACACACACACGCGCACACACACGCACACGCACACATGCTGAAGTAAAACCTTACATACACGGAGCTGAGATGTGTTTAGTGGTTGTGGATTGGTCCAACTTTGTCTGCACTGTCTAATTTTAGCTCTATATCCATAAAGCAATGATGAAAATACAACACAGGCGTATAGTTCTACAAATAAGTATTGATCACAATCATTTTTATTACAGCCACAGCCCATATTTACAGTATGGGCTGTGGCTGTTGGGGGGTTGACAGGCTATTCCTGAGAGAGCTAATAACTGTAATTCAGTGGTCAACATTTGAAGAACACATAGTATGTAAAACTATATGCACCTTACTCCCAGTCTTTCATACCATTTATGTCCATGTGTTGTATATTACAGGATATCTTACAAAATGGTCATTACTGGCGTCAGAATGAGGATTGCTGGAACCCAATAACAGAATCCTCCTCTAATTGTTATTCACCCTCAATCTCTTTACCTTCCCATGTTTCCTAATAGATAGCTTGCTGACTCGTTTTCCTTCCTGTCAAGGTCAATTGTTATCGCCTTGTTGAGGTAATTTATTAATAGCAGATGGGCTGTTGTGCCTCTGTTTTTTAAGTGATGAATGCCACGAGCCTTCCTCAACCAGAAATGGTGAAACAATAAAGCTGCTGACCAATACTACATTCAGCAAAAGAATATTTTATAGGTTCATTATCCATGTGTTCAGGCTCACTAGCTGCTACATCAGATATGTCCTTGACTCCAGAGCGGTCCGGTGGCAGATCAGTAATGCAGCACCTTCAGCTAATAGAAAGAAAAAAAAGTGGTTGTATAATTAATGTATTTGCTTGCACGATGCAATCATCACGTGTCAACAGCAAGACAATGTTTACCTCCCTGCAGCTGGAGGTACAGCACAGTTACCTGCGTGAGTCATGCAATACTTCTTTGGCACAAAATCATAAACTGTGTTTGTTAAACATCAATAATCTCCATTTATTAAGATTTATTCCGTGTGACATCAACAGTGCGAGCCCTTGTGCTACATAGTTCTGTCCGTGTAATGACATGGATACACATTCAAGCTCCCAAAATTTTAAAGGGAAACTCCACCAATTTTACACAATAAATTACCTCACTTCACTTGAGTTAGCGTCGGCTGTGGCTGATGCTACAAGTTTGAAATTGAAAACAAATCTGTGTGGAGTTAGAAAGAAAGTGATTTTATCAGACCTCTATAGCCCACTCCTCATTTCTGCTAAAGGCTAGCAGCTCAAGGCTACAGTAGCTGCTACTGGACTAGCATAGCACACCCCAATATCCAACCACACTGTCAGTGGTGGAGGTACATTGTGAGTAATGTAGGCGCCAGGTTTTGACAAGAAAGAGGAATGTGTGTGTGTGTGTGGTGGGGGGGGGCAAAATCTCTGGTTCTGCTGCATTGATTTTGATATTTTTTTAAACTGTCCGTTACAAGAGCGCAAAGAAAAATTGCTCTTTTAATGTAACGTTTCTACCAGCAAGGTCTTTGTCAGGCAAACATCCATGTGAACAAAACACAAGCAAACAGACAAAAAATGGCAGCTCCACCTACATTTAGGAGATACAAGGTAACAGCTGTCATGCCCAAAAGATTCACTGTCTTTGGGTCTGTTATTTTTTTTCTCATGGATGCCTGACAAAGACTTTGTACGTCAAAACATTGCATTAAAAATTTCGGGCGGCTTGCTAATTTTGGTGTGCAAAAAATCTTTCTCTTTGTGATGTTTTTGTCCCGCTCATGGAAATGCACTCAATCCACCGTCTTTGCATGAAAAAATATTAACTTCTTGGATGAGCAAGACCACAGTTATAAACTGGCTCATCTCTGTCTTTTGGTCATAATTTGAAGAGTTTTTTTGTGTATTTATATTGTGTAATGTTTTACTCTTATTATGTGGTGTTGAGGTAAAAAGAAAGTGTTTTTATATTAGTCTTTCCAAAGACCTTTTTTAAAGGCTAAACCGCTCTTTTGGCTGATAATGAAACACCAAACTCTTGTTGACATACTTTGTAGGGGACCGTCTGCAAGGAGTTTGAGCCTCTTTGTCCCACAGAGGTTTAATGGAAACACCACAATAATGTGAAAGTTTTAGTTTATGTATATGTTATATATCATAAGATGCACAGGCTGTCACCTTTGTCAATCTTTCAACCTACTGTAACTGCCATAGAAAATCCTGATGCTGTGCTTTGAACATCTGTCTGCTCAGGTGCACTGATCTTTCATGCATGATGTGCCAAATGAAAAGTCATAGATGGAAAGCCAAAGGGTGAGTGTGTTCGTATGTGCATTTACAATATTGTGTGTGTGAAGTAGCTACATTAGAAAAGCTTCACCCACTGTCACTCACACGACTTATTGAACTGTGACAGCCGTTGACCACACCACACGTGTCTTGCTCTGCCTGCAGGAAGGCAGCAGAGAGAGTGAAAGGGCAGGAAGATGGTGGAGAGATCAAACCTTTAGTGAAAATCTCGGCCACAAATGAATCTCCTCGTGTCTTGGGGGTAAAAAAGAGAGAGAAAAGTCAAGAGGAGCTGAAATGACGCACATTCTTCTGAACCTGATCAGTATTGTTTAATGCTCTGCCACGTCTGCAAGAGCCTCAAGAGATTGTTAGATTTCATTTTCGCATCATCATGATGTTCTGAGGCCATTACTCTAATCTCTTATTAGATTTCATGGTAAGACTCTTTTAAAAAAAAAAAAAAAAAAAAAAGTGATAAAACTGCAAATCATCTGTCAGATTATCTGTGCCGCTTTCCACATCCAAACAAAAATGAAAAAAGTGCAACTGACTCATTTTGTCATGGATGATCTGGACTTTAACTTATAGAATACTCATAGAACAGTAGTGCCAAACAAATACTTGAAAGCCTTTATTGCACAGCGTCTCTGAATGCGAACAGATAAATTCCTAGAACAACATACCTTTATTTCACATAATGCTGGCAAATAATCAGAATTAATTCTGTGCCTCTGAAGGCCAGACTCGATCACTCAAAGCAGCAAATTAGTCTCTATAGACATGAGGTGGCAAACCATTTCACACATGAACATAACATACTGTAGATAGAGATTTAATGTAGCAGCAAACAGACCCACACGCACAGTAAAACGGGGATGTTTGTTCAGTAAAATTGAACTTATCATCAGTGTTCAGCTCTGCTGGGTAAATATCAGCTACAGTTTCTTTGTTTGACACTGATATTGTATGAATCTTTTCTCAGTGCCTGGTACAACAAGCAGACTTCTGACTGCTTTTTTTTTTTTTTTTTCTTTTTCGGCTGCATGAGTGTGCCTTTTCTAAATAAATAAGATAACCATACAGGGCAGCAGCAAGCAGTCTATCACCATAATCAAAATACATGTTATCATTTCTCAGAATACAGACATTTTGTTGATCTATGAGTTTTGAAAATAAAACTACATTATTTGTACACAAAACGAAAAATGGATCCTGGGTCATTTAGCCATTTTTTATATATATTTTTTCTGCTTACTTACATGAATCTGTCAGTCGTGGCATAATATACTGTACCATCCAAATAGGAATCCATAGAGAATAATAACAACCGAGTACTGAATGTTCTCTGGCACAACATAGCACATACGCTGGTTAAAAGGAGCTTACATGACATGTTCAAGTGGTTCTGTGATTTCACCATAAAGTGAAAGAGTGATGGGTGGGTCATTTCCACCCATCACTCTGCAAAAATGACTGTTCTTACAAGTAAACCAGCTTCATCTTCAATATTGTTTTCCATTGCTTTAAAATTCTTAATTTTAGGTCTTGGAAATTGGTTTTAATCCATGAAAATTATGTGAACTGTAACTATTTAACTCTTTAACTTTTTTTTGTTTTAAAATCTCCACTGTGGAAAAAAGCATGACTGAAAATGTATGGTTGTTTCACTGCATGCACAACTTATTGTATAGAATGGCTCATTATGAGTCTCAAAACGTTATTTATAGCATTCTTAGTAGTCGATAGTCTCAGACATCTATGTTTAGAGCTTTATATCCAAAAATAAATCAATCTGATTGGAAACTGGAGGAACAGTTGATCACGACCCGCAGCATCTGAAGCGCACAAGTTTATGGAAAGCTTTCTTGAAGTCCTCGTTTGACATGGTGTATATAATCGGATTGATGAGGGAGTTCAGGTATCCCAGCCAGGTGAAAAAGTCAAATAACTCGGGGTTAAAACATGTGTCACATATGGCCACCACCAGTGTGTAAATGAAAAACGGCAGCCAGCAAACGATGTAAGCGCCGAGGATTATCCCCAAAGTCTTTGTTGCTTTTCTCTCTCTGGCTGCTGAAATCCGCTTTTTCTCCAAAAGCGCGTCTGACACCGTCACTTTCACCTGGTTCTCGCTTGTTGAAGACGCGGTGTCGCTGGACGGAGTGTCGTGTCTCCCGCACTGCAGAGAGGTCGTGGACGCCACGGAACCGGGGGAGTTGGTGACCAGGTGCGCAGAGGTGAGTCTCTTCCCCACCTTCTTGGGGGACTGCTTCAGGATCCGTTTCCGAGCCTCGACGTAAATCCGTCCATAGAGGACAATAAGCAGCAAGGTGGGGATGTAAAAAGCCCCAAAGGTGGAGTAGATGGTGTAGAAAATATGATCCGTGTTGACGCTGCAGCTGGTCAGCTCCTCCGCCTTCACCTGCCTCCAGAAGAGAGGAGGCAGGGAGATGGAGATGGCGATGACCCAGGCTGTGGCCACCATCCCGGCTGCGCGTCCCGGCGTGCGCTTTTTGGAGTACTCCACCGCGTCCGTGATGGCCCAGTACCTATCCAAAGCGATTACGCACAGGTGGAGGATGGATGCGGTGCAACACGTAATGTCCGACGAGAGCCAGATGTCACACACTACTTGCCCCAGCGTCCAGGTGTGGATGACCGTGTACAGAACGCAGATGGGCATCACCAGAATAGACACCAGGAGGTCGGTAATGGCCAGAGAGGCGATCAGAAAGTTGGCAGGAGTTTGCAGTTTCTTCGACTGGGAGATTGTTGCAATGACAAACGCGTTAGATAAAGTGGTGGCCAGTGTGATAACAGAGAGAATCACCGCCAGGCTGATCTTATAGGCGAGAGACTCCGCGCTCTCATCCACAGTGGATGAAGCTGTAATAAAACTGTCATTTGTGGTGTTCACCAGCTGACTTGCCTCGACTTGACCGGAGTGCTCCATAACTTTTAGTCACTTCTTGTCGTATTTTATGTCACCCTCTGAATTGTCTGGCATTTAAGATCCCCCTTCTCTTAGTCAACGCTGCCTTATCCGTGCCCTCTGGTCAGATTAAATGGCACACTCAGTCTGAAAAATAACAATGGATTCATTTCCTCCTCATTTTCTCCTGATACATCTGGTTTTAAGACGCAGATGCCAAAATGTGGAAGCGTATATCCATTCCCAGCAGGAACTTAAACTTTTCCGTTTTTTAGCCATTAAAGAAAACTTCCTAACTGTACCTGCACACTACAAATAACAGAGAAAAGGTTGTGTGAATGAAGAGGAGTGCGTCCTGATGTCCCAACATCTGGGAAAGATGTCACAGATAATCCGCATGTAGGGCACAAATTCTCCAGAGCTGTGTCTCCTCAGGCCCCCTGTGGCTGAATGGTAAGCCAGCTCAAAGTCTCGGTTTTATACAGACACTGACATCAAACGAGCACCACTAATCACAGCCTTGTTTTTTTTTTTTTTTTTTTCTTTCTCTCGATGAAGGGTAGGCTATCTGCTGGGTCATAGTGCCCAGTGCTTCTGTTTGTCACACACCAGGCACCATTGGGTTATGGTTTGAAATGAGAAAAACGGATTTTTGTTACCACACAGGTGCCACTTTCTAATAAGTCACCCTTTTATGATATGATATTTATGATATGGATTTACTGATGTACTAATGATTCACAGGTCGTTTCTAAACCATTAGAAACAACATTAGAAGAACTCTGGCTGTTGACTTATTACAAAGTTAAGTCATAATTAAGTCATCCCTGAAGGCCATCGCATCTTGTACAGTTAATGTAAAGTCATAAAATAAAGGGTCAATAGGTTTACTAAAGGTACTAGGGTAAGTCCAGCAATTATAGAATGAGCAAGTAAAAAAAAAAACATAACAACCCCTTTCCTATGCAAGAATACAGTTAGCCAGTTAAACACTTAAATAATACTTTTGCAGATGCTATTTACATCTGGGTTGAAATAGCCAATAGCGGCTATTTACACCAGGATGTATAGCATGGTCGTGATAAGCACCTAGGTGTCCATAACTGACATTTTTAAATAACCCTAACCCTAAATTAACAGCACCTGGGCTAACTTATGTCTAGCATTAGCTAAACTAGCTGCGCTAGTGTGTGCACATTGGACCATTTGAATTAGAATTATACAAACAGCAAGAAAACAGTGTTGTTGAAAGGGTATATTTTGTGTTTAATGTATCCTACTTTTTACATTTGTACCCCACTTTGACTCCTTCAGCTGTTGAGGCACAACAGTGCACACAACATATTGTTTATGATTCTTATGGAGCTGAGGGGCAGGGATGAGGGGGTCGCGTGTAAATAGCCAAATAGCTGCTGTGTGACTATTCTCACCCAGGTGCAAATTGACCCTCCATAATCCTTTATAGCCGACTGGCTTGATGCAGTCAGTTTTGCGATGGTGTTAGTTCCACACTGATGTTCTTGTTCTACCATTAGAATAAAATGAGCAACAAGGGGATTGAAACATTTTCATTGAAAATAATCACCTCAGGGAAAAGTAAAACCTCTGAATGAATTTATAATGGTAACATCTGTTGATACAGATTCCTTGATGAATTAATGCAACCACGCTAACAGGCAGTTGATAGCCTATTGTATTTTGAAGGGCAATAAGTCTGAACCATAACCATGCACTTTTAAATATTAATGATCAGTTGATACATTATTTTTACAGGGGGTCAGAGGTCAAACTTCTGAATTATGAGATAAAAAAAAAGGCACATCAAGTGTGATGCCAAAGGAACATAAATGCCAGCAACAACCTGGCAACACAAATTTGTTCTTATTATTGGTTTATATCTGATCGAAGGACTTTGTAAATGATTGATAAAACCATTAGCTACAACTTTCAAATCCTCTATAATGGGTGCCCCACACCTAACATCATAGCATCATTTTAAATAGAGATGACACAGTGATGTTTTGACATTTCATGGGTGGAAGATTTCGGATGAGGAGTTCACAGGCACTGAATCCTGCCACTCTTGTCACTTCTAGTGTGTGAAAATGTCCGTCAGTGACATTGACATTGAGTCGCTGCCAGTTACACATGAGGCTGTGAACCTCTCTCTCTGACTCTCATTCAATGCATGATGTGTCTTCTCAAGGTCACTCATTGCCTTCACTGAGGCTCCAGTGGGCCAGTCATCTATTCAAGACCCTGATAATTTCTGTGGAATGATATTCTTTTTTAGTCTGGTCAGGAAATATATAAATTATGCAATCAGTCTCTCAATCCCCTCCATACACACACACACACACACACACACACACAGACAGACACACACAGACACACACATATACACACACACACACACACCAGGGCAATGTCCTTTTTCCAAACTGAAGAACTGAAATGACTCCAAGAAATGAATCTGCTGTCATATATTCTTTTTCCATCTCAAGCGGCTGCAGCAATCATATAGCCCCTTCTACTTTTATTAATTTCCTCATCAGAAACTTTTAATTGGAATTGACTTGTCACTTGCATTGCGCTCAGTATTTGTCAGAGTCACACTTGCCTGTCTACAGCTGTTTTCTTCTCTTTCTCTTCTATTAACGGAGACAGAACAGCATTTGATCAAGTTTGCAAAAGTAAATGATGCAGATTAATAAAATGTCTTGTGAGTGGGAGACAATAGATATTTGCAGACTTTATATCAAGTCTTTTTTGATGTTTCTGATGGTGCTGAATAATAAACACTGTCATACATTGTGTCTTTCATTGCAGCTTATTTTGGATGGCCATAGCCATATGAGTCACATGTGATCATATGGATCTGTTTGTTGGTCAGCAGGCTGTCCTTAGGTCAGTAGGTCATCACGCTCTTAAGGTCTTCCAGGCCACATGTTCAGACCACATATGGCTCGCTGACAGGACAAAGCAAAAAGCCCGGGGCCCACGAATGAGACTGCAGCTAGTTCAAAAAAACAACTTCTGTGACTCATAATTTTTATCTCATGATGATAATGTATGAAACTGTTTTGAACCCACTTCTATTTACCGATTGTGATCACTGACTCAACAGTCAACACAAAGGCCGTAGAAACACATGAGTTGAAAATATTTGCACTTTAACAGAAAATGACTGAAATTAGCAGTGCAATAACATCGCAAGTAAATTCTCATGTTCACAAGTAGCATCTAAGACAGAGTCTCGTTACATGTGTAGTTGAGAATCAGGATTATGCTGCTTTCTCCTTTACCCAAAGACCAAAGTAGTTGATTTCAGTCTTTACTTCTTCCTTGCTGGCAATGCCAAAGGAAAGTCAGGCCACGAGTTGCACCCCATCACCATGAGTGAAATTATATTACGCAATAGGACGAAGGAAGCTACAATATACAACACCATGAGTCTAATCCTGCCTGTAGCATTCAATTGACCATGATGCATCTGAGTTACAAAGTATTTATAACTTTCAAACAAGCTTATCTACTCCTTTCTAACACAAATACACACAAATGATGATATGCATCGTAGTTAAAGCAACATTTAGTAATGATCATAACAGTGTTCTCAACAGTTAAATAACCTTTGTCATGAAAAAAACTTCAGACAAGCCCATAAACAAAAGTCAGACAGTTAAATTCCATTTAGAGTTTGATGTAGCATGAAGGCATCCTGCAGAGGTGTAGATTAATGATGCATTCTAGAGCCCGACCAATAATGGATTTTTGGGGCCGATGCCGATAACAATAATAGGGAGTAAAAAAAAATTCTGATATCGATGTATCGGCTGATATAACACTAAAAGATATGTAATGAAAGCAGAGTATATTTTACAGTTTAACAATAAACTTTATTGTCCAAAATGACATCAGTGCACTGAAATGGTAACCTTCACTGGGAATTAAATAAAATAACTACAAAAATAAATAACTATAAATAAAAAAACATAAGAACATATATTATATATATTATATATATTTAACTTGAATGAAAATGAAGGATCAAATATACATAAAATGCTGCCTATATAACTTGACTTGACCTGAGCATTTCCACTGCATCATTGCTTCTTATTAAAGTATTCATATCAGCATATATTGGAGAACATATGCGCTGATACAGATAAATCTGTGATAGGCCAATATCAGCTGATAAAATCAGCCGACCGATAAATCAGTCAGGTTCTATTGCATTCACCTGATCTTATTGGAGTTTTAACACATAATGTATGGCAAGAAACAGGGAAAGGATTAATAAAGTGTCTGAAAGACATGTGCTGCTGGGCGGGGTGTTTCCACAGAGGGTTAGATGTAGTGTCGCTCCAAAGTAAGCAGGACCAAACTGATGCCTTATTTGGTTAATGTCAATATCAGTCCATTCATGTGAGTTCAACTTTCCTGCACATAACCTTCAGTTTATACTGTCTTACATCTGCATTTATGCATAAGAATAGACATTTACAAGGTAAAGAAGTGATTCACATGTTAATCTACGGGAGATGTCAGGTCATTGTACTCTTCTAAGGAGAGTGAACTTTACAGAGCGTGGTGATATCTCTTTTATTGACGCATACAATAAAATAAATCCATAAGGCATACGTAAATGCCTCTGACACCTGAAAATTACATCCCAGATAATTGCTTTTCGTGCTAATTAATTTTTTCTGGGGAGGCTGCAGCTGTTGCAGAGAGTGTTCATTGACTTTTAAAACGTGATTATACTGAATGTTTCTAACCCTCTGGACATCCTAAATTGTCAGCAGTGAAGTCAACATATATGTGGATAAAGTCATTCTATGTCTTCACACATCAGTGTTATTATACTCTTGAATTCCCTGCAGCCAGTGACAAATAACACTCGCTCCTCTGTATCCAGGCTCAGCAGAGAGTATCAGACCCTCCTGTGAGTTCATGATTGTACCCCTTGACTGACTATGACTGTCTGGCACCACTAATGCTCTGGGCACTGGGCA